AATAACAACGTGCAGTAAACGGTAAAACTGTTTTCACTACAAACCAGTGTGTATGGTAAGACACACCAATTTTCAATATCAAGCAGCAAAACGAACTGTTTTGTACAACTAAAAATAGCTGGACGCGGATGAGACCGGAAGCTAGACCCATAGAATTTACAAATGGCCGCGCCTATTTTTACGGCTAGAAAAAGGTGGATAGATTTTAAAATTTAAATATCAATATGTTAGCTTAATTTAGCCTTTATATCTGTTAAAATTAGCGGTGTAACAGTACATGTATTCATACTGAATATTTTTGGTTCAGGTAATTCGGTTTGGAAAAAATGCAGCATTTATTCAAACACTGCATGTGCAAAAATTGTGTGTGTGGGATCGGGGTTCTTATAGTTAAAACTAAAACCATAAAAAAGGTGTTACTTGAAATAAAATGACGTTAACTGGTGTTAACTAAAATATAAAATGACGTTAACTGGTGTTAACTAAAATATAAAATGATGTTAACTGGTGTTAACTAAAATATAAAATGACGTTAACTGGTGTTTAACTAAAATATTTTTTAAAATTAAACATTTTTTTTCTAGCTAGTTGCCAAGTAACATTTCTCATTTTTATTTAGTTTGAATTGATGTACTAAAATACCTCAAACTGAAATAAAATGACTAAAAACTATGTAAACAAAACAAAACAAAAAAAACGAATACAAAATATTAATAAAACTAATAATATTTACCTCAGTGATACTAAAATATCACTGTGTGGGACAATACTGTTTATGTCGATATACTTTGATGTTGCAAACACATCTGGAAAACAACATATAGTGAGTTGGTGTGGGAAAAATCTAAGTTGTCCTAAACATCTTATGGTTCATTTTTACCAGCCCAAGCAAACTTTTCCACAAAGTTTGCTTTGGCAAGCTGTTTCAAACTCTCTAAACGAAATGTGTTTTGGCTTGATCAAAAATTGTTACATCAGTTCATTCTTCGATTTCGCTTGAGGTATATCATGGCCTTTAGATCTATTAAATTTTTTTTTTTTCTGTTTGCAGCCATTGTAGATGAGAGCACCAAAGGCATCCAAGAGCTGGTGGCTAAGCAACGTGACCCCAAAACCAAAACCAGCATTCGGAGGGGAACACCAAGAAACTTCCACATCTCTTACCCACGGAACCAGCCCGTTATTCTCCCTCGCCGTGGCCAATCAAAACCCGCTCTGCCCGCTCAACTGCGCAGCCAACTAAAACAGTTACTATCTCATGGGCCGGTCAGATTATCAGAGCTGGAGTCCAGGTATATGGGGCAGTTCGGAAAGCCGCTCAACATCACGCAGTATGGCTTCTACTCCATTTCCGAGATGCTGGCAGCTGCCACGGATTTCGTAATCATGCAGCAGAGTCGCACAGGCTCGCAACTGCTGCTGAGGAATGCCATAATGGCACAAAATCAGTTCAAACATCTGATGACAAATCTTTCTAAGCCATGTATGTATATGATAATGGAATTTCTAGAGAAAGAGAAGTTGATATCATGTTCTTGTTTTTGGTTCAGATCGATTATTTATGTCTTTTCCACGATGATACCTCTGCAGTGGCACCTCCTTTGGTGGCAAAACAGAAGCCGGTCAGTCCTAAAACAACTTCGCCACTTGAGAGGAACAAGCAAGATTCGCACTCCCCCCCTGCTGTTCCTAAACCGGAGCCTGTGAAGGCAGAGCACTCTTTTGAAGAAACTATTTTTAAGGTTTGGATATTTGTATGAAATTAAGGTGATATTTCATGTTGCGCTATATATAAATCAATACTGTTGAGGTAAATCTTCTTACAGCTTGAGGAGGAGCTCAGACAGCAGATCCTTGAGAAGGGCACCGCTGGCACCGTCAGCCACAAGCTGAAAGATAAGCTACGGAAGGTCAGACATAACAGCTTTAAAACTCAGCCTTTCTTGTCTCATCTCCTCACCTAGGCTTATTTTTGAGATATGGATCTTTTTTCAGGTTGTAGCTGAAAATGGCAATGGGATCTCCATTCACAATCTTCCCACAGAATACAAGGTATTCTCACAAATCCTGTCAAGACCATATCTGAGTTCATATCTGAAGAAAAAAATAAGAAAATTTATTCTGCCTACAAAAAAGTAAGCCTATTTTGTATGTTTTTGCATCTTTTTTTTATTTCCATGGAAGCCTGTTGTCGCCATGGAATAAAAAAAGTTAATTGTTACATTTTATCTTACAATTCTGACATTTTTCTCCTAATTTCTCAAAATGTCTTTATCGCAATCAGAGTTTGTAACCCATAGTTCTGACTTCTTTATTCTCAGAATTCTGAGTTTACATCTTGCGATTCAGTTGTTTCCCTGCCATAGAATATAAAAAAGGTAATTGTGACTTTTCTTACAATTCGAGAAAAGTCACAAATTTCGTAATTCTGACTCTTTTTCTCCCAATTCTGAGTTTATATTGAGATAAAAAGTCAGAATTGGGTGGAAAAAAAACCTCAGAATTGTGAGGGGAAAAAAACTGAATTGTTAGATTAGGCAATTACCTTTTTTATTATTATTTTTTCTCCTGTGGCAAAAACAAGCTTCCATAGATTTTGGGTTGAAACTGTAAGGAATGATGTAGTCATATGTCGAGGTCACGCAAAATAAGCCTCTATGATGGTCGGAATATTGCCTCACTCACTGAAAATGAAAACATCATATCCACAGCAATATTTTTTCTAGAGTTTCTAGATGGTGCCAGTGAGCTTTTTTAACTTATGATCTGTTTTTTGATGTTAGCGAATGTATGGTGAGGAGTTGCCGGTGAGCCAGTATGGCTTTCTGAGCGTGACGGAAATGGTTGGGGCTTTGAGTGACACATTGTCCATCCAAAAAGGTGCTGACGAAAGTGAAAACCATTGGATGGTTGTGGAGTTCAAACCAAATGACATACAACCCACTGAACCTGGTACTTAGCTTTATGTCATATTGATTTGAAAAGACAAATGAGTGCTCCTAGCTTATTGATCATCTTTAATGGAACTTTGATTGTGATGTATTCCTTTTGCAAGAATTATCCCCGGGTCACGGCACCACCTCCAGTCTGACGACTAAATCCCAGAATCCCTCCAGCAAAGCCTATTACTTCAGCTGTGCCGAGTCTGCATGGGAGCGCGAAGAGGTGGAGCAATACACAGACACCCAAGAGTCCGAGGCTGAGCTCAGAATCACCAATAAAACCATCCATCAGGTTAAGATTCATTATTGATAATACATTATGATTCCCTCCCATATCAATCCTAAGGAAACTTACAAAATGTACTTAAGTAAAGTTGCGTGGTATCTATTTGTATAAAAAGGCATTATTACCACTACATTATTAATACATATAATGGAACAACATAATATAATAAATATACTACTTAATATACTAAAAATGATTCTTTATTACTTCTTAAGATAAACTTAAGATCAACTAAGTGTACTCAACTGTGCTATTTTGGGACATCATGAATATGAACTAAAATGCGCTTTTAACGGACTACAGGTGCATCTCAATAAATTTGAATGTCGTGGAATTCTTTCATACACTAGTACACTCAAGTGTACTACAAGTGGTGACTAAATAAATTTTTTAAATACAGACATAGTATGTTTTAGTATATTATTACAAATTAGTTACAAAATTATATTACAAAATTAGTACACGAAAATAGAGCACTTTAAGTACATTATGGAAGTGTACTTTTTTTTTTTTTTTTTTTTTTAGATTCTGCAATTCCAGTCAAATAAATGCTATTTTCGCTGTATTCAATACGTACTATATGCATCAAATGTTTACAAACGATTAATCGCTATTATTCGCATCCAAAATAAAAGTTTTTGTTTGAATAATATGTGTTTGTTCTGTGTATATTTAATATGTATATATAATACACACACATACAGCATATATTTTGAAAATATTTACATGTATTTACATGTCTACATTTATATTCATAATTTATATTATAAATAGATTTAATATAGAAAAATAACATATTTTTCTGAAATATATACTGTATGTGTGTGTGTATTTATACATAATAAATATACACAGTACACATACATATATTATGTAAACAAAAACTTATTTTGGATTCAGTTAATCGTTTGACCGCACTAATATATATATATGTATATATAAACACATAATAATTCTAAACATCATAAGAGTATTATGTGTTTGTTGTAGATGGCGGATCTTTTCCCAGAGCTGGTAGTGAGTCGAGTTTCAGCGGTTCCTCCAGACGCAGTGTGCTGCCAGAAGCTGAAGCCCCCGGCTCGCAGGAGGGAGAGAGAGCTGGTGCCTGTCCTGGTGGAGCAGACGGAGTCTCCCAGCCACTTCTACATCCGCTTCAGCCAGAACAAGGAGGCCAGAGCCCTAGAGAACATGATGATTGAAATGAGGTATCTCACTTATCTCGTTGTATGTTGAATTGTCACTGATTAATTTCATAATTATTTGGGCTGGGATTGAGTAGTATGTCATTCTGAACATGCCTAATACTTGTTTCCAGGAGCTGTTACTCCTACCCAGATGTGACGGAGAGATACCGGCTGCCTGATGCGTATGTGCGGCCGGGTCAGGTGTGCTGTGTGGCCCCCAGAGACATGTGGTTCTACCGGGTAGTGATCCACGAGCTGTTCAGTGATACTGAAGTAAAGGTCTACTATGTTGACTTCGGAGACATCACAAAAGTGGAACGAAACAGCCTCCGGTTTCTCAAGTAAGTTCATAAATTGTTATAAAACAATGAAAGTGTCGTTTAAACCTAAATGATTACCTGAGGTTTTGGTTTTGTTTTACAATTATTAGTATTACACCATAAATTAAAGACGTTGCATTTGTTTAGGACATATATGTTTGTATCTCTGCTGCTTTGTATACTCTCAAAATCTTTCCAGAGCTTGTTATGCTGATCTTCCAGCTCAGGCTGTCCCTGCAATGTTAACTGGAGTTCGGCCCATCACGGTAAGCAGTGTTGTTATTGTTAACTAAAACTAGGGGTGCTCCGATTGATCGGCTACCGATCTCAAGCTGATGACGCATCTGCCGTCAGAGGTTTGGCAATGACATGCAGCGGCACCATCCCGGTCTCTGTCTGGCGCTGGTAAAATAATTATTATGCTGAAGGTGAGGTGCAATTCATATTTCTTCATTAAATAACTCTTAAAGTAATTTGAAAACCTTTTGTGGGACATAATTTCACAAACGGCGTGAGTGAATCACAGCGTGCTCTCTCTTTCTCTCTCAAAATGCGCAAACGGCTTCAAATCACATCACGTCTGCACTATAAGCGAGCTGCACACTGCACAGTTGACATAGGAATTGTCACTTGCACAATTGAGGCAGTGTCGCATCATCAATAAAGTTTATAAATTGCATTTCTTTTTAATTCTTGCCAGTGTTTAAACCATTCAGCGGGCTCGCGCTCATGGAGACTGTGCGCTCATGCACACTCGCAGCGCACACACAATGCCAGGTTTACATTACTCCGTTTGCAGTGTGTATGCGGTGCGTATTTTTTCCGCGCTCATGTTAACGGATTAATAAAGCGTTCACACTGCAAACGGTTGCTGTCCGGCAGTGCGTTCCAGGTCTGCAGCAGTGCAGAGATCGTATCCGCACCAAGTCTATTTTTGCTGCACCTCAAGAGCTGAATTAAAGTAACAGCGCACTGTTTGCGGTAAATATGAAAACGAATATGTAGTAATTACACCATAAATGCATAAAATTAAAGTCTACTGTGTTTCACAGTCAACATAGGCTATGGCTTTTTGGCTAGGTTTTTGAGCTGTGCGTAAGCTATTGTGCAACAATTGCACGAGTGTAAAAACAAAAATGCACTGCATGATCGAACATTTAGGTGAGATAAATATATATTTTTGAAAAATGTCCCCTCAAATTAAAAAAATCCCCTCTAACAAGAGTCACAAGAGGGAAGTTCCCCCCATTTTCAAAAATGAAATTCAGGCCCTGAATAAATGTCTAAAATTCCTGATTTGAGTATTACTATAAATAATTCTACATGATAAAAATAAGGCTTTAAAAAGATCGGTATCGGCAGATACTGCTTTCTGTGATCGGTGATCGGCCTCAAAAATCCTGATCGGATCACCCCTAACTAAAATTATTGAAAACCATTTGTTAAATTAAATAAATAAATAAGTAAAATGAGAGGAAAATTAAAAATGTTGCCTTGGAAATTAACTGCAATAAATGTATTAAAGATAAAACTGAAATAAAGATGTGTGTGTGTATATAATATATTTCTTCTTCTATATATATTTATTTAAAAGCAATAAAATTGGAATGATCTTTTATGATTTATATTAAGATGTACAATTTTTTTCATGGAAAAAAACTTTTTTTAAATGTTTTTTTCTCTTTATCTTCATTGAAAATTATGTTGATTGCAATGAAACACCTTTATTAATAAAACAGCTCGAGTAAATTGTCACAATATTTTCAGTTTGGGTGAACTATTACTTAAAGGGGTCATATGATGCTTTTTTAAAGATCATTATTTTGTATTCTATTAAGGGTGGGTAATATAAGAGAAAAATCACAAACATCACAACATTCTTAATAATTTTGATGTATTATGATTTATATTTGATAAAATTTTTTCATGGATTTTTACTTGGTCCTTATTTATTTTCATTTAAAATTGATTGCAATGACACAAATGTAATAAATAAAATATTATTTTTATTTATTTATTTATTCATTCATTTTTTCAATCTAAATCATCTATTCTGTCTGTTCTACATAATTTTTTTCAATGCAAGCAATAAGGCTTTAAGGCTTCTTATATCAAAGCAATGAAGACTTGCAGTTCAGTAAGCGAATTAGATATTGATTTAGTAAACTCTGAATGAATTGATTCTGAGCAAGTGATTCATTAGGCTGATTCAAACCGTTAACCCCTAAATCTCTGTCATTTATTCACAAATTCGACTACACTTTTTGTGTTGTATGCTTGTTTTCCCTGCAGCAGATGGAGAACCAGCTTTTGGTTGTTTATTGCTCATTTTGTCGCACTAGTTATTCTTTTTCTTCACATTTTCCTTCTGTCTTTTTTTCCCTCAGAGCATTTGGACTCAGAGTGCGATCAGCGCTTTCCAGCGGATGTGCTGTGAGCGCACTCTGGTGGCCGCCATCCACAGCTACCAGGAGGACTTCCTGTTGCTCTTCCTGTGCGACACAAACACGGAGGAGGATGTTTACATTCACCTCGCCCTACAGAAAGAGGGCCACGCCCTTCCCTCCGTTACCGCTTTTGGATTGGTCTGGGTTCAAATCTTCATTTACCCACTTGCGTAAAACCCAAGAAGAATCTGTTCTTCAGTATTTGCTGGTTTCTTCTCGTTTGGCTTTTTAGGTGTCAGGGAAGTTCAACCCAGTGACGTCTTATTTTGGAGATGATCAGCTTGAGGAAGTAAAGGAGTGTCTCTCACCATCCACATCTTTTCCAGAAACCCAGATCTTCTTTCAGGGAAATGGCTCTCTGAGCTCCTCTCAAACGGTAACTTTAATATACACATCCAGCATCACGATACAGCACTGATGGGCCATAAGCCAGTGAAGCTCTGTCAGTTAGCTCTGTGAAATTTCAGTGCTGCTCGATTGGGCCGATGAATGGCAGGTCTGTCTGCTGAGGCTGTAAATAGAGGAATGACAGTGAGCAGCACTGGATCTTGTGGGTGTTTGGGAGTTCAGATTTTTAAAGGGTTAGTTCACCCAAAAATGAAAATTACCCCATGATTTACTCACCCTCAAGCCATCCTAGGTGTATACGACTTTCTTCTTTCAGACGAATACAGTCGGAGTTTATTTACAAAAATGTCCTTCTAAATGTCTTCTAAGCTTTATTTTGCCAGTGAATGAGGGTCAACATTTTGAAGCCCAATAAAGTGCGTCCATCCATCATAAAAAGTGCTCCACACGGCTCTGGGGGTGTTAATAAAGGCCTTCTGAAGCGAATCGATGTTTTGTAAGAAAAATATCCATATTTTATAAACCGTAATCTCTAACTTCATTTTTTAATATAACTCCGATTGTATTCCGCTGAAAGTCATATACACCTAGGATGGCTTGAGGTTGAGTAAATCATGGGCCTATAGTAAAGTCTGTCTGTTTTCCTTGCTTGTAAACACCCCCGCCCCGAGTACTTGTTTTTGAAACCTATCGATGATCGAAATGAGAAATTGCCAAAAATGCCCATACCTAATTAAAGAAGTCATATGATGCAATGATGATTTCAATTTTTTCTTTCTCTTTGGAGTGTTACAAGCTCTTGGTGCATAAAGAAGATCTGTAAAGTTGCAAAGACTAAAGTCTCAAATCCAAAGAGATATTCTTTATAAAAGTTAAGAGTCAGCCACACCTACCTAAAACGGCTCGTTCTAACACGCCCCCACATACCTACGTCACTATCTGGGAAGATTTGCATA